TTCTAGAGTTCTTCCTCCTTGTAGCTCCTTTTCCTCTGTTATCTTGATTTAAAAACTTTACCCTCTTTATCCCTCCTGAACTCAGACCAGTCAGTGAATTTGTGGTGCTCTGCTTGTGTTCTCTCTCTTTGGGCCTCCACACAAAAATTTTGATTTATGATAAGTGGGGTCCATATATAAGTGAGAACACGTTTACTTCATTTGTTTTTGTTTCCTCAAGGATCTCTGTTCTGTGCTGTCTAGTGTTCAGTATCTGAAAGTACTCATTTGTCTCTCACCCAGTTTTCTAAGTATACACGAGAGGAAAGTTGTTCCCAGTTAACTTTGGACCTCAGGTAGAACCAAGTTAATCATGTTTCTCATTTCAAAGAACATTGTCCACTGGTCCCACCAGGGCCCCACTCTTGCTTTGTTTTACTTTGGCATCTAAAAATCTGGTGTTGACGGTATTTTTTTTTTTTTTTTTTGTATCATAACCAGGGTGTTGTGCATGTTATCCAAGCACTGTACTACGGAATTACATCCCCAACCCTGCTTTTATTTTTATTTATTTATTTTTAGATTTATTTATTTATCTATTTGGTACTGGGGCTTGAGCTCAGGGCCTCATGCTTGCTAGGCAGGCACTCTGCCACCTGAGCCATTCCGCCAGCTCCCATCTCTTAATTTTATTTTGAGACAGGGTCTTACTCTGTAGCTCAGGCTGACCTTGAACTTACCTTCTTTCTGCCTTAGCCTCTTAAGTGCTGAGATTATAATCTGTACCAGCCATCAGGCCTGGCCAGTTGATGGAATCTTAACAATTGCTGTTGGCTAGATGGTACTTGTATGTAGCTGTCATTTTATACAGATGTGTAAATATAACAAAATATCTGCCTCAAAGCATGAATGTAGATTTCCAGCAGATTGAAATAAAGTCTTTGAGATAATTGTGAATTAACTTTTTCATTCCTTTGAACTAATTGCTTGTATGTAGGGGCGAGGTACAGAAGAGATTGTGGGATATGGAAAATTAGTCATGTTCAGCAACATTTCCAAAGATGTAGGTCAGTTGACTAGGTGTAAAAGTAGGTTAAGATCCTTGTATCATTGACTTAGTTCTAGGATGGATTATTTTAATAAATGATGCATCAGTAATGTAGTGGCAGTATATTGTAGGAAAATTCGGATATCAGTGACTTAGTGAAAAGTTCAGAAAAGTTAGGTATTGAAAAATGGGAATTTGTAGGGAAACTCTGGTTTTATTTTGTTGTATGTATTCACAAGACTTAAATAAGACAGAACTGGTCTAAAGAGCTTCATGGAGACGCATAAATAAAATTCTTTTTTGGCTGGGAGTATATATAGCTCAGTAGTACAACAGGTACGTATAGTTCAGTAGTAGAGGGGGTACTTAGCTTTGGATTCAGTTCCTAGCACAAAAAAAAAAAAAAAAAGGAAGCAAATTAAAAATTCTTTTTTCCCTCAGCAGCCCTTTTAAAAAAGATATGTTTTTATTTTTTGCTGACACATAGTAATTTTAGTGTAACCTTTCGATGCATGTATGCAATGTGTAGTATTACTTCAGGACAATTTGGTATAGTTATCACCTCAAGCATTCATTATTTCTTCGTGATGGGAATATTCAAAATATTCCCTACTAGCTGTTTTGAAATATTTGTTGTCAATCATAGTTTTCCTTCTGTGATACAGAACATTAGAAGTTATTCCTTCTATCCACCTGCACCACTGTAACCATTAACCATCTTCTTTCCAGTTTCCTTCTTCCCTCTTTTACACCCTTCCCAGGCACTGGTAACAATTATTCTGTTCTCTGATTTTTTGAGATTAACTTTTTAGCATCTACATACAATGAGAACATGTGATATTTGTCTTTTTGTGCCTGACATATTGTACTGAATATCGTCCAGTTCCATTAATTTTGCTGAAAATAACAAAACTGCTACTCTTTTTATGACTGTATTTCCATTATGTGTCAATACCACATTTTCTTACAAAATGCTTTTTTTTTTTTTTTTAAAGTACGGGGTTTGAGCTCAGTATACATCTCCAGCCTTTTTCCTTTAGGTTATTTTTCAGGTAGGGTCTTGATTTTTGCCCTGGTCTGGCCTCAGTCATGGTCCTCCTAGCTATGACCTACCACCACACCTAGCTTGTTTTGTTGAGATGGAGTTTTGCTAACTTTTTGCCTAGGTTGACTTTAAACAATGATCCTCCTGATCTCTGCCTGCTGAGTAGCTGATATTACAGCATGAGCCATTGTTCTTGGCCCCTTAAAATAAACTTTCTTAACTGATAAGAAATAATTCATTTAATTAGAGTTATTTCTTTTTAGTGAGAGTAGGATTGGAACTCAGGGAGGCTTCACACTTGTGAAACAGGCACTCTGCCACGTGAGCCACACCTCTGAGTTATTTCTTTTTAAATGGTATATAATGACACATATTACTGGGGGTAGATCTTATTGAATAAGGGATTCAGTTTCCCTTATTTTATTGATCTCTATTCCCCTAACCTTTTTTCTTAGTTTTCTGTATTCTTGTTATGTATTTGTATGTCTTTGACTGTATGTTTCCCTGTGAAATATATACTCTTTGTATGTGCCTTAGATTTCATTCATTTCCATTTCTATTTTCACTCGACAAAATGCCAAGCTATGTTGTTAAACGTACCTTTGGCTCATTCCTTCTAACTGTTCATGTGGTCTGCCTGAACAGGTTTTGCTTCTCCATTCTGCATATGAGATTATGAAGTTTTCTCTTCCTTTTCATGATTTACTCACATAGCATAACCTTCCAGGTACATCCATATCCTGGCAATGAATAGCATTCAAGTAACATGGACTAGAAGTCCAGCTCAAGTACAAGCATAGCAAATACCTGAACTAGTAACTAGGCCAAATACACAGATGCCTGAAATTTTATACAAACCATAAAACTTTATACAGATTCCTAAAACTTATCCTGAGCCCTCCCCTGCCAAAACATTTTCCATCCTTGAAGTCTAATCAAACAAGAGTTGTATGTATATAAGGTATGTACCTTGATGTTTTGGTACATGTGTATGTATCACAATCAAGCTAATTAACATGCATCTCCTCACATACTTTTTTTCCTTTTTCTTTTTGTGGTAAGAACATTTAATTGGGATGTAGTTTGGGCAGAAATTTTTATTAAAAAAAGAACATTTAAGATCTACTCTCTTGAAGAACTTCAAATGTAATATAGTATTATTAAGTAGTTATTAACTACATGCTGTACAGTAGATCTCTAAAGTATAGTATAACTAACTGAAACTTGGCACCTTTGGCCAATATTTCCAATTTCCTAGTTATTTTAACCTCTAGCAACCATAGTTCTGTTCTCTGCTTCTGTAGAGTTCAACATATCAGGTAGAGAAATATGGTTCATCACTGTGTTTAAGGGATGTCACACCTTTGTTCTGAATCCTCCAGTGACTTCTGTTTTGCCTACCGTAAAAGCCAAAGATCTCAATACTACTAGGAGTAGTATTTAAGGTGGCTTCTATTACCTCTCTAGCATCCTCTTCTCCTACTTGCTTATTTTGCTGGCCTTCTTGCTGATCTTTGAACATGTCAGGTATATATCCTCCCTCAGGACATTTTCATTTGTTCTTCTCCCTGCTGAATTACTATTCTCTTAGACTTTCACGTAGATCCTTACCTCCTTGCCTTGAAATATTTACTCAGATGTCAGCTTCTCATTGAAGCTTCCTTAATTACTCTGAACAAATTAGTTGTCTTTCCTAAGGGTCCCATTGAGGCATTGTATCCTCATATATTTTTTCTCACTATATTGTAATCATCTACAACATTTGACTCTGCTATTAGACTTAACACCCACATTGTAGGATAGTGTTTTGGTTCAGGAGTGAGTGAATTTATTTCAGTTTTAAGAGTCACTGTATCATCAGTAAAGATGGAGTTTGTATGCCAGTACGAGAAGAGTTGATACTGATGTAAGAGGGTGAGGACTTACTTTTCTCAAGCAATGGGAAGTCCAGAGGTAGAATGATATAGCTACTCAAGGATGTCATTAAGGAACCAGTATCTTATCTTGCTGGCTGATTATTTTTTTGTCTTTATGGTCACAAGATGTTGTTGTATCTCTAGACATTTTATTAGAGTTTGAAGAAGGAAGAGAAGGGAAATGTCTTTTTAAAAGGCATTGTATTTTTTTATCTATAGGAAGGAAATCTGTCCTTTCAGGTAGTGATATGGCCAATCCTAACAAGGAAGCCTGGAATTTTGAATTTTTTGGATCCTCTAAAAGAAAACAGGGAAGAGAATTAGAATTGAAATTTAACTGAGAATACAGTATAGGATAGTGGTTAAAAACATAGACTTGAATTTGAGTTTTGACTTTGTTACTTCCTAGCTATGTGACTTTTACAACTCTATGCCTTGGTTTCCTTGTCTGTAAAACAGATCTAGTAATAGGTACTGTATTACCTGTTATGTAAGCATAATAGAAATAACATCACACAAAGAATTAGTTTTCATTGGAACTGGACAGAAAAGAGACAAACCCCTACCCGAGATAGAACCCAGGGTCTTGTGCAAGCTAGTTATGTGTTTTACCCTTGAAAGCTGCATCTCTAGTTCTCAAAAGAGAGCATTTAGATTAGCAAATCTTTTGAGTACAGGAATGATGAGGTAAGAAACTTTCTTAAGTGGTCTGATGACCACATTGCATTATAAAAATATGGGTTGAATTCAAATACTTGAACCATTGAAATTCATTCATTGAATCTCTTTTGAAATCCATGGCCACTTGGGTGACTTTGAACAGATTGATTTTATCAGCAATCTTGAAAAATTCAGCTCAGTGGAAATTTTATCTATTACTGATGGAAGGTTTGATGAATTAATTCTTAACTACATATTGAATTTGATTTCGTTGATATTGTTACTAGCCTTTTTCTACTTGTAATCAGTCTACTGAAAAAAATTATCATTTTTTTTTCTATTTTCTTTTTAGCCCCATCTGCTTTGATATGATTGAGGAAGCATACATGACAAAATGTGGCCACAGCTTTTGGTAAGATGATTTTGTTTGGTGAAATAGTCTTGACTTTTTTAAACTTAAATATAAATGTAACCAATGAAAAATTAAACTAATTTTATACTGTTTTTTTGATATACCTTTACAGGTTTGACAGTTGATGATATGGCTGGTACATAATTTCTGTGAAACACACAGATTTAGTATAGGCTGTTAAAATAGATTTTAAAGCTTTTGCATTTATTAACTAATAACAGGAACTTTGCTGTTTAAGAAAATAATGGGTACTGACCAATCAAGATCAAACACGAAACATCAGTTACTTTGAGGATAGGTGAAGGCCTAGTAGAGAGGTCTAAGAAGGATGTTGGTAAAGCACATAGATGATTAAAAAGTTCTGTGTTCTCTTCTTTAAACACTTTTACTCATGTTTCTTTAGATTAAATCATCTTACATGATGTGATCATTATTTAAAAATTTTAATTGTAGTAAAATATACATCTTAGAACTTGCAGCCTTTACTGTTTTGATGTGTGTAGTTCAGTAGTGTAAAATATGTTCATTTGTTGTACAGACTATCTCCAGAACTTTTTCATCGGATGAAACTAAAACTATATGCCAGTTAAAAAGAACTCTGGCCTTTCCCATCTCTGCAGCCCCTGATAACCACTATTTGACTTTTTGTTTGTATAGGTTTGTCATCTAGATAGCTCATATTAGTATACTAACATAAGGTTGTCTCTTTGTGACTGATTTCACTTAGCATAATGTCCTTTATGTTCAACTGTGTTGTGGAGTGTGTCAGAATTTCCTTTTAAAGGCTAAATAATATTCCATTGCATATATACATCACATTTTGTTAACCCATTCAGCCTTCGGTAGACAGTAGGTTTTTTCCACCTCTTGGCTCTCAAAAATAATGCTGCTTTGAGCATGTGTATAAAAATATTTCTTCTGGACCTTGCTTTCAGTTCCTGGGATGTATACTAAAAAGTGGAATTGCTGGATCATATGGAAATTTTGCTCTTAATTTTTTTCAGGAACCATCATACTGTTTTACACAGTGATCATACTATTTTATATTTTCAACAACAGTACACAATTTCGCCACATCCTTGCCAACACTTGATTTTGTTTTCTTTTTTTTCCCACAGTAGCCATCCCAATGGATATGTAATCTATAGTTTTAATTCCTTTTTTTTTGGCCCTCTTTTACTTTTGCCAATTTATTACAAAGGCTATCTTAGAGGATCCAGTGATGAACCAGATACAGAAATACATAGGGTAAGGTAGATGGGAAAGGGCATGGATCTCTTGTACAGTCTCTAGACATGTCACCCTCCCAGCATGTCCATGTTCAGCAACATGCAGCACTCTGTGTTCTGTGTTCTTGGATTTATGTAGACGCTTCACTAAGCTGCCACAGTTGATTAAATCATTGCCCACTGGTGATAAACTCAATCTTCATCTCCTCTTCCCCTCGCCCTCCCTGGGGATGGAGGGTGAGTTGAAAGTTACAACCAACTCTCTACCTATGTGGTTGGTACCCCTGGCAACCAGTGATCCTGGAGCTACCTAGAAACTCCTAGGCATCAGTTGTCATATTTTACTCGTTTACTTTGTGACTGAACGTGACACATTCTACTTGTAACCAGTCATCTTCATGAATTGTTTACCTATTCTTTTGGCATATTAGTTTAGCCTTACTATTTCTGTTGCATTCTAATAGCCCTTACACTCTAGATTCACATTGAAATTGGTCCCATAATTTTATGCTGAAATTGGATATAGTATACAGTAAATATGATGGCCTTTATTCATGAAGAACATTGGGTATTAACACAAGTCTGTAAGTCCTTTTGTTTCACCTCCAGCATAGTATTTCAGTGCTAGGCATATCTAATCTCTTCGTCATTTAAAAATTTTTAGAGTAAAAATAGCTTACTTAGCCAGCACTAATTATGTTCTTTATTAAAATAAAAGCAGTATATATTTTTGGCTTGAAATAGCAACTTTTATTGTACTGTTATATAAATAGCTTCCTTCCTCTAGTCTTTCTTTTTCCTAGCCTCAAAGTTATCACTTAAAGAATGATTGAATATTTCTTTAGAATCTTTCTGTTTTTTTTTTTAAGGGGCTATTTTGCTTTCTTGAATGAATTGTTTTAGTCTGTCTTGACACTGACTATGATTCATGAATCACTCTGCTCCTAATTACTAATGAAATTCTAGTCATATGGATCTCACTTTTAACCTGATACATGTATGGTCTTGGTCTTTTCAGGCTAATTGTTTAGCAACACTGTTGTTCTGAAATTTGGGTGATCCAGAGTAGAGTTTTTTTCAATCTTGGGACTATCGCTATATTAGAGCAAATAATTCTTTGTTATGACGTAGTGTCATTTGTTTAACATTGTTGCTGACTTCTACCTAGTACTATCTTCCCCACTCACTGTTATGATAACCAAAATTGTCTCCAGACAGTTCCAGGTATCTCTTGGGGAACAAATTGTCTTCTTGAGAACTGTTATCTAGTACTAGCTTTTGAAGTTGGTAAACCAGAATACGACTTACAGTTCTAAAATTTACCTAACCTTTGTCAAGTTTCTCAACCTCTTGTTCCTTTTCCTTTTCTTCTTCCTCTCCCTCCCTTCCTTCCTTCCTTCCTTCTTTGTCCACTTCTTGCTCCTTCCCTTATTTTCCTTTTCCTTCACTTTCTCTCCTTTCATAGATTCAGAGTTGTTCCAAGTGCTAATTTATTGTAAAGTGGGATTTTTTTTTTAGCTTATCCCCTTTTAACTTACTGTGATATTTACAAATGTTCATTGTGATATTTACAAATGACTGGATCAGTTCAAACTCCATCGTGAAAGGTAATAAGCTATTGATTGACCTTATAACTGGATAGGCCTGGTCTTTTCAATGAGTCTTGTAATCTTCACAGTGTCCTTAAGTCATTGTTGGAAAGTCCCATTGATTTTCTAAATAGCTTTTTTCACCCCGAAATCAAAACAGTTTAGGCTTATGTCCTTGTCACAATGTAAATTATTTTGTTATGCACTGATATGAATATATTTTAAGATACCTTCCTAAGAGCAGGTTCTGGTAGGATAAGTACCACGAAGTTGGCAGGAACTAATAAAATGGAAGCTGGCAGGCCCAGTGTGAAACTTGCTAGACAGAAACAATTTACAATTTTGTTTAAAGCAGAAGTTCACAATTATTTATCCTAACATGTGAGGCCTCTGGACCTTCAGTCATAAATAGTAAACTGTTGGGTCATCTGTTTTCCAACTTGAATCCTGACTGGTAAATCAGAGAGAAACAGTATATCCCTTCAAATCTCCATTGGATTGTTAGAGTTACTTCAAATTGGACCACATAGATTGTTTATCTTTCATCCACATTTAAGTGGTAAGTAGTAGTAGCAGGTTAGAGACAGAATAGCAGGTACTTTTTTCACTTGAATTACTCATTCTTCCTTGAGAACTCTTTTATCATGTGATGCTAGTATGAGCGGTAGGCTGACTGAAACTCACTGATTTCATAAAACCTTGCTTCTATATAATAGTGAGATAAATTGTTTTTCCGCCTTTGTCCCTCTGCTGTCTCCAGCTTGTCCCCTGTGCCTCACTTCTCAGACTTCACATTTATCAAATCCCGATTTACTGTTTTGTTTTGTTACATGTTAATCACAGTTCCAGTATATAGGTCATCAGTCTGGTTGTCAGGTTGTTTTTTGTGACTCTAGGCTAATTCATCATCTTGTATCATGTTAGCCTTTTAGAAAAGTTTTTATTTTTGAATTAATATACATTAATAATTCAAGGGGATTGCATTGTGATAATTTCATACATGTGTACGTGTACTTGGAACAAGTTCACCTTCTCTGTTATTTTACCATTCCTCTATCTTTTCTCTCCTCCCTACCCTTTTCATACAGCGTTGTGTGGGTTTCATTATGCTGTCTTAATATGTTTGTGTATAGCGTGTATTACTGAGCGGTCCGCTTCACCCCTCGGTATCCTTTCCTTTCTGCCTCATTCTCCCAACTGATCACCCACTGGAGAGTCCCTCTTTTACACTCATGTCCGGTTATTATTATTGTCACCATTTTAGGTCTAGGTTCTACAAATGAAGGACAGCATGTCATCTTTGGTTTTTTGAGCTTGGCTTGATCGCCAGTTCCATCTATTTTCCTGCATATAATATAATTTCATTTTCTTATAGCTGAGTAATATTCTACGGCAATGTAGTTTAGCTAATGTGAATTGAGTTGTAATAAACATGGATATGCATGTTTCTCTCTTATATATTGATTTATACTCCTTTGGGTATTACACTCAAGAGTGGTATGATGGATTCGTAAGGTAAGTCTGTTTTTAGTTTTGTGAGGAACCCCCATGCTGATTTCCATAATGGTTGTAATAGTTTGTCTTCCCACCAACAGCAGATGAGGGTTCCTTTTCCCACTGCATCATCACCAGCATTTTTTGCTTGTTTTTCTTGATGATTGCCAATCTGATTGGGATGAGATTGAATCTTAGTGTAGTTTTTTGATGTGCATTTCCTTTATGGCTAAGGATGCTGAACATTTCTTCATGTATTTATTAGCCATTGTATTTCTTCTGAGAGAGAACTGTCCAGTTTGTTTGTTCACTTACTAATTGGGTTATTTGTTCTTTTTTTGTAATATTTTTATCTCTTTGTATTTTTTGTATATTAATCCTTTTATCCATTCATAGTTGGCAAAGATTTTCTCATTCTTTGGGTTGTCTCTTGATTCTGGTAATTGTTTCTCTTGACATGCAGAAACTTTTTAATTTGATGCAGTCCCATTTGTCCATTCTTACTCTTATTTCTGGAGCATTTGGAGTCCTATTCAGAAACTAATTGCCTGTGCCTATAATATCCAGTTTTCCCTATATTCTCCTGTAGTAATTTCAGAGTTTCAGTTCTTACCTTAAGATCTATGATCCATTTTGAGTTGATTTTTATATAGTGTGAGAGATAGAGGTCTAGTTTCAATCTTCATGTAGATAATCAGTTTCCCAGAACTGTTTATAGAAGAGGCTTTTTTTTTCTGTTGTCAAATATCATATGACTGTAGTTGTATAGTTTTATTTGAGTCTTCTGTATGTTCATTGGTCTTTGTGTCTGTGTTTGTGCCTGTATCATGCTATTTTTGTTGCTATGACTGTGTAGTATAATTTAAAATCTGGTATTGTGATATCTCCAGCATTATTCTTTTTTGCTTAGGATTACCTTTGTTATTTAGAGTCTTTAATTCTTTCATAAGAATTTTAGGATTGATTTTTCTGTTTCTGTGAAGAATGACATTGGGATTTGTTAATCTTTTTGTGTGTAGTTATATTTAATGATTAGTATTGATTTGTCCTTTTTTTTTAGAATTTTCTAGTAACTCAGTTTTTTTTTTATCTATGCATCCTGTGACAGACAGGAAAAGATACGTATTTACAGTTTTTTTTTTTTTTTTTTGGTTAGGCTGAGTTTTGAAATTTATTAAGTTCCACTTCTTTGACAGATATTATACTAGACTTTATAGAGGCAAACAAAACAAATCTGTGTTTTTACTGAGAAGTGGAAGAGGGTTGACAGTCACATACAGAGATGAGTACAAGATAGGATAGTTATTGTTATCACTTAATACTTGTTTAGTGGTATGTAATTTGATCAAATTTAATTTTATAATATGGATGGGTGTTGTCAAATTCAATGCAGAAAAGTCTCTCAAACTTTTTTGCTGAGGACAATTCTTTTTTGGCTCTCTCCCAAACGTATTTTTTTCTTCTGAAAGGGATAGTGTGATAGTAAGCCTATTGATATGGGATATGGTTAGGACACAACAAAAAGGAAAGGAGGATGCTTTCTATTAGTTTCTGGAATAGTTTCTTTTATGTTGAAAAGCTCTCTGACTTAAGAATTTTTCTTTTGAATTTTTTTGTGGTGCTGAAGGTTGAACCCAGGACCTTACGAAAGCTAGGCAACCAGTGAATTATATCATCAGCCTTGAACTTTTTTTTATAGGCACCATTTGCAGACACCTAACAAGTCCTCCTCCTGCTTGTCTGTTTTCTTTTCTTGCTTGAACTCTGGGCTTCATGTTTGCTAGGCAGGCTCTGTACCACTTGATCCATACCTCCATCCTTACCTGTCATGTTTAACAACCTTCTCAGATTCTTTCCTTCATGACTCTTTTTATGTGAATTCACTGATTTTTTTTTTAAAGGGGTAAATTTTATCATGTGGGAGTATTTCCTGGTAAAGATAACTCATTTCTTTTTTTTCCAAGCAAATTATAAATTTCTCCATTTTGGGATTCTTAGTCTGTTCTATTTGTATAACTACATTATGCCAGTTCCTTTGCTGGTGTTCCCAGTAGGAAATTTGTGGTCAGATAGGAAGGATACCTTGTGATATATGGTAATGTATAGTTGTTCCCTATAACCTGTTGTTATAGATATAAGAGGTGATGAAATTGGACACTTGCAAGTCATTTGTTTAGTAGGTATTTGAGTGTCTGTTATGTGCCAGATACATGCTTCAATCTTTAGGCCCCTGTGCTATGCCAAAGATCAGTTTTCTTTGATTCTACCTTTCTCCTTTTTTACTTACCTTAAAAGTAAAGAGATGAGAAAAGAGTTGCTAACTAGAACAGTGAAACCTGATGAATTTAGGATATTTTTGTTTGTTGATAAGGTGGATGTAAAAATTATAATAATTTGAATACGGAAGAGAACATACTTTATTTTTAAGAACAGTCTTTATAAATACCCTTGTAATTTCTTAGAAATTATTTTTTTAATTGTCGTATGTAGTGCATATTTACTGTAGAGACTTAAAGATATCTAAAAAGAAGACAGTTCTTACCCCCAGACAGAAAAACTGGGAACATTGTGGTGAATGTCCTTATCAATTTATTTAAAATGTACATATATACAAATTCTTTTAATATGTTAAATGTATTATACGTTTGTATTCACTGTGTGGTAGATTGTCAATTTTGTTCAGCTTTACAGTGATAGAGTGATATTTTTTCTCATGTAAGCTTGATATCTTTCTGTGATAGGAATAACAAACACTTAAGAGTTTTTATTATAAGGTAAAACACGGTTGTTAAATGCTCAATGTATTAGAAATATATGAAAGGAAAAATTTCCTATAATCATATTTCTCCAGCAATAACTATTAATAGGTTAATTTTTACATCATGTGTATTATAATATGATTTTTATTGGCAATATAACATTGCATTGGATTGATGTTTACAGATATATGTAGTCAATTTTCTGATGTTTAATTTGCTTCTATTTTAGCTTGCTATGTTAACAAACTGAATTGAACCACCTTGTGCATATCTATTATAATTCCTAGTTTTTTTTTCTTTTTTTTTTGGTGGTATGGGTTTTGAACTCAGAGCCTTGTGCTTCCTAGGCAGACGCTCTTACCAATTGAGCCATGCCCCTAATCCTTATATAATTTCCTTAGGATACATTCCCTAGAAGTAAAAGTCACCATGTTGAGCTAGGCTCCGGTGGCCAACACCTTGTAATCCTAGCTACTTGGGGAGGCTGAGATAGGGATGGTCCCTGTTCCAGGCCAGCCCAAGCGAAAAGTTCATGAGACCCCCATCTCAACTAATAGTTGGGTATGGTGACATGTGCCTTTCTCTTTAAGATAGATGGGAGGCTGAGATTGGGAGGATAGCAGTTCAAGGCCAGCATTGCCAGAAAATTTGGGAGATGACATCTCAGCAGAAAGAAGCTAGGTGTAGTGGTGTATGCCGATTATTCCAGCTCTGATGGGAAGTCTAAAATAGGATTGTAGTCCAGTTTGACCTGGGCAAAAATTGAGACCATATATTCAAATTGAAAATAAAATAAAACCACAGCCAAAAGGGCTGGAGGTGTGGTTGCAAGCGTGAAGCCTTGAGTTCAAACCCAGTACTGCATAAAAAAAAAAAGGAAAAGAAAAGAAAAACCACCATGTTAAAGAGGATGCAGAATCTTAAGGTTTTCCCCCACATCTTGCCTTCTAGAAAGGTTGTGCAGGTTACATTTCCTGCAGTACTACATAAAATTGTTCATATCTATGTATTTTCTGTAACTACAGCAGTATTTTCTTTGTTTTTCCGTTTTGATTAGTAAAACTAGTTTGTAATTTTGAATTACTTTTTGTTACTACTAAAGGTGACAGTTTTCTCATGCTGTGGCCTACTCTCTGTCTTTGGTTTTTCTTTTCATTTTGTTTGTTTGAATGAACCTTTGCTTGTTAAGGGTATCAGCATTCCAAGAACAGAAATGGCTTGTTTGTACAACTAAAACCATAGGCATTTGCTTATCTAGTGTTTTTATGTACTATGTGTATTAAATAAACTTAAAATTTAGATAGTAGATATTTAAAAAATTTTATATCTGGTAGGTTGTTGAGTTTATTTTGAAATAACTTCTTTACTGTGTAATGCTCAATATATCTTGTTTGTGGTGTGAAAATATAAACTGAAATAAATGTAAATTGTTAGGTTACTCATGTTGAATATGAGTAGGACACTAGTAGACATTTTTTGACCAGTACGCTAATTTTTTCATTGATTTAATTAAGCCTGTTTTATTCTTTTCATGCTAACAGCTACAAGTGTATTCATCAGAGTTTGGAGGACAATAACAGATGTCCAAAGTGTAACTATGTTGTGGACAATATTGACCATCTTTATCCTAATTTCTTGGGTGAGTCTTTTGAATTACTTTTTAAGTATTCTTTCTTTCTTCCAAAATACGGGCTAGCCCTAAGTTATTCAGAAAACCTAGCTCAGTGGTAAGCATGCTTCTCTACTAACCAGAGTGCTTTCATTGTTTAGGTTATGGCATAGATTCCATATATTCTTATTGTCATATCATATTACTTTTTTTCCTTTTTTATTATTGTTATACTGGGTATACATTGTGATATTTACAAAAGTTCTTACAATATATTGCTTTTAACTCTCATAAAAACAAAACAAAAACTGACACAGCCTTTAGAATTTTATGTATGTGATTGAACACAAGGTGAGGCTTTAAGATAATGCTAGAGGTTCAGAATACCTTTGTGTCTCTCTACATAGTATTGCAAATTGCTTCTGCTGTGGGAGGAGGGTTGAGAAGTATCAGAGGAAAGGACTAATGGGGAGGGAACTTATGCTTAGTGAATATTGACTGAAAGGGGGAGAAACAGGATGGGTGTGAGGATTCCTGGATGAGGGAAGAGAACCTGTGAACTGGCAAGGCAATTGAAAAGTAAGAACTGGGGCTGGTAGAGTGGCCCAAGTGTAGAGCACCTGCCTAGCAAGTGTGAAGACTTGAGTTCAAACACCCAGTACCACCAAAAGAAAAAAAAAAAAAGAACTTGAGAAGGAAAACATACAAAGTTTTTGAGAAGAGAGATTTGAACCCTTAAGTTTATGTGAATGGTAAATGGTTGGCATTAACATGTAGTCAGAAGCCAACTGTGAATATCAAAAAAAATTTTCTAGTTAATTGCAGTATGCCTTTAGACCCAGCAGTTAGAGGACAAGGCAGGAGGATCTTGAGTTAATAGCTAGCCTGGGCTACATAGTAAGACTATGTCACACACACAAGAAGCTAAAATTCTACTTGTGGAATTGCTGAAGATACTGTCAGATACCTGTCATCTGTATGCTTTTGGAATGAATAACAAGCTGTATTGTCAGTTATACGTAGGGATGTAGTTGAGTATTATTTCATATGCATAGTAAGAGGGCTTAACTCTTAATTCTAAATAGCATCATGCTCAGAGTTAGGATGTAGCGACTACTTGTGTTTTACATTTTGACCTGCCAGAAAATACTCAACTTTCCATAGTGTTTTTTCTCTTTTCACTGTTTTGCTCCAACCTCCCTTTCTCCCCCTCTTCGCATACATTCTTTCTATTCTCCATTTCCTTTGATTTTGAGATCGCTCTTTTCCTCTCCTAAGTCTGAAAGTCTCATTCAGGGTGGGGTGTTAACTCTTCATGACAAAAGGATATCCACCTTCTACATATCATATCAAACTTCAACATAAAATTATGGGACCAATTTCAATGTGAATTTAGAGTGTAAGGGCTATTAGAATGCAACAGAAATAGTAAGGCTAAACTAATATGCCAAAAGAATAGGTAAACAATTCATGAAGATGACTGGTACAAGTAGAATGTGTCACGTCCAGTCACAAAGTAAACAAGTAAAATATGACAACTGATGCCCAGGAGTTTCTAAGTAGCCCCAGGAGCACTGGTTGCCAGGGAACCAACCACATAGGTAGAGAGTTGGTTGTAACTTTCAACTCACCCTCCATCCCCAGGGAGGGCGAGGGGAAGAGGAGATGAAGATTGAGTTTATCACCAGTGGGCAATGATTTAATCAACTGTGGCAGCTTAGTGAAGCGTCTACATAAATCCAAGAACACAGAACACAGAGTGCTGCATGTTGCTGAACATGGACATGCTGGGAGGGTGACATGTCTAGAGACTGTACAAGAGATCCATGCCCTTTCCCATCTACCTTACCCTATGTATTTCTGTATCTGGTTCATCACTGGATCCTCTAAGATAGCCTTTGTAATAAATTGGCAAAAGTAAAAGAGGGCCAAAAAAAAAGGAATTAAAACTATAGATTACATATCCATTGGGATGGCTACTGTGGGAAAAAAAAGAAAACAAAATCAAGTGTTGGCAAGGATGTGGCGAAATTGTGTACTGTTGTTGAAAATATAAAATAGTATAATCACTGTGTAAAGCAGTATGATGGTTCCTGAAAAAAGTTAAGAGCAAAATTTCCATATGATCCAGCAATTCCACTTTTTAGTATACATCCCAGGAACTGAAAGCAAGGTCCAGAAGAAATATTTTTATACACATGCTCATAGCAGCATTATTCATGAGAGCCAAGAGGTGGAAGCAACCTATAGTCCATTGAAGACTGAATGGATTAACAAAATATGATATACGTATATAATGGAATATTATTCAGACTCCAAAGGAAGGAAATTCTGATGCCATGACACTCTTAACACATGCTTAATTCCTTCCCTCTCCCCCAACTCTCCAGGTACTCTTCTTATGGCCAAGGCTTAATTTCTAGCTTTCCCAGTTCTGTCATCTCTCACCTACATGTGTTGCGTGTATGTCTCATGTGTTGTTTCTTCCTCTGTCAGTTTCACTGTCCTTTTTCTCTATGTAAAATGTGTTATTTAAAATTTTCTTCTGTTCTTACTTCTGTATGAATGGGCATCTTTGTCATTAATGTAAAGAACACCTTGCATTTCTGTTTAAACTGGGTGTGGTAATGCACACCTCTAATGCCAGCACTTTGGAGGCTGAGTTAGGAGGATCATGAGTTCCAGGCCATCTTAGACTGCATAACAAGATCCTGTCTCAAAGAAAAAGAAGAAGCAGCTATTGTTAGGCAGTAGATGCTTTATGCGCTTGCACTTACTTTAATACTTATGGCAGTCCTATGAGATACTGTTGTTACCATCATCATTCCTCAGAAAACTGAGGCCAAGACATGTGGTATAATTTACACATTTATACAGCCAGTTACTGGTAGAATTTGGATTTGGTTTTAAGTAGTTTGGTTTAAGAGTTTATGCTTCTACTCTTTATGTTGCCTCTAAAATGGCAGTTGCTAGAGCAACTAAAGGTTTTAGTACTACTGTGGATAAGACTTCATAGAATTATAATTAATGCATGTATAAGTCATCCCTCAGGTTTGCATTTCAATTATGAGAACTGCTTATATTAGAAATACAAGAGTGTTTGCTAAAAGTGGCATGTCAAGTTGAAATCCAAGGTCATGTCATTAAGGTGTAATTTATGAATTCAACAAACAATAGGTGCTTAGTATGTCCCAGCAACTGCACATTGATGGGTAAGACATGATCCAGTGATTAAATACTTCAGTCTGTAGAATACAGACCAAGCTAGTTGGTGTGCTTTTCCTATCAGCATGCTGTTAATTTTAAAATAAGTTGGCAACATTACAGAATAGAATTGACCATTTTGCTTTCTTATTTATGAGTTATGGCATAGTTTTGAAGATATTTTCTCTATAAATGTGTGATCTTGATGGAATTGGCAGAATGACATTTGAATGTTGAGTTCATTGTGTATAGCTTGCATTTTAAGAGGTTTTTTTCTATTTTTAAAGTACAAAAATAAAAATTCTTCCTTGGTGAAGATATTAAGTAATGTGTATAAAAAAAAAGAAATCACTTCTTTTATTCCCCAGGGATTACTACTACTTGTAGGATCTAGTTTTTAAAGAAGAGGAACAGAATAATCATTTTTTTCAGATAGCTACTTGAAAAATCTGATCCATTAATAAAAACTTCAGTTCAGTAAGTTTGTAATTTAATTTATATAATACTGTGTACCATTTAACATATTTTCCTTTGCCTTCACTTTCTATAACTGTTTTGCAATTTAATTTGTGGTATTTAATAATTGACCTTAACAGTATTGTTGGCAAAAATCGAATACAGTGGTATGAGATTTCTTATTAAATGCACTAACATAACACAGAATTACAATTATTTAAGAAATAATTATTCAGATGGTTTCTGCAACTGAAACATTAAGCTCTTGTTTACTTGTTTATTCCCAGTATATTTTTTAGCTTCTCTCTTTTCTATGTATTACAATAATTTTGTGAACTATGTTTATTTCAGGCTCTTCAAAATCAGACTTCAATATTCCTATATTCCTTGCCTTAGATTTTAGCTCCTATAAACATTTTCCAAATCACTGTGGTCCTGTGTCTCACCTGTATTTATTTTAAAACATTTTATCTCCAGTTGCTTTATGATTTTGATATACCCCTCCCCCGCCCACACACACCTTTTCTAAATTCTTCTCTGTTCCTTTCCCTGCTTAGTCTTTCTCTGCCTGTTTGGCTCAGTTCTTAAGTTACTGTTTTGTGAAGCATACTAGTTAACATTTGATTGATCCCTGAACTGTGTAACTCTGTTTCAATGATATCTGACCTGTATACTTTGGAAATCTGTTTTGGGATAGTGTTGAACATCACTTTCTATCACAACTATTGTATCATATCTTATGTATCTGTCTTGCTAGTTTGAGTTGGTTGAATCATCTTACTCATCTTTGAAACTTGAGTGTCTAGTATGGTCTTGGCATCTGTCCTTTTTTTCCCCTCAAAAAATATCTAATTATATTGAGGTATAGTTGTCAGTATTAGGTGATTAGACTTGGTTTCCAACTCATGTCATCCTAAGTAAGTTCTTTACACTTTCTGTCCTAGTATTCTTTGCTCTCTTAACTTAAAATAATACCTATGAGGTAAAGTGCCTACCTAATCTAGTGGTATTTCTCTTTTGTGGAGGGAAAACCCCTCATGGGATGGTTTTAGATCAGAAACTGATAGTGTCTGTCATGGTATTTATAGAAAAGGCACAACAAATAAAATAAAGATCTCCAGTGCTTATCTCATAGTAGGCACTAAGTTGCTCATGCTTGTTAGCATGCAGAACATAAGACAGGCTGGTGTGGTGAGGAAGTATCCCTCCCCAAGCACCAATAGATTGATTATTTAGAAACATGTAAGAGAAAGTACATCTTCTAAAGACTTTTTCTGTGGTAATAGAGTTTGACGTATTAGTAGGTATTGGGAAAGAGTTTTAATTTGAAAGGAAATAAATTAACACTGTCTATTTGGCATCTTTTTAATTTTGGGGCTTTTTAAAATTAAAATAGAATCCATCTAAACAGAACAGTAAGATACATTTTAATAAAAATATGAGTTTTGCATACTTTTTGTTTCTGTTTTCAGTGAATGAGCTCATTCTCAAACAGAAGCAAAGATTTGAGGAAAAGAGGTTCAAATTGGACCACTCAGTGAGTAGCACCGTATGTTTCAACTCTTACTACTATTTTCAGTAATTTCATTTTGTTTTTATTTAATATTGATTAGATGTTAAAACTTAGTATGCAATTGATTTTTCTTAAAGGAGATTTATTGAAGGTTGTTCTAAAAGGAAAATTAAGGTTCAAATAAATAACTTTCTTAGCTACATTGTATTAGTTCCGTAGAATGATCATCTTTTAAAAGATCTGCGACAGTTGGCTTTTAATAGTGACATTTTTTGGGTTATATTGCAAGATGAAATACTAGGTAGGTATTTAGAATAAACTGTTCAAGAGTCTCAGTTTAAAAGGATTAATGCAATTTACTGAGAAAAGTGAGCTTAATACCTTGCCAAGTGCAAAGTTGAAAATATGGCTAGACAAATATGGCTAGTTACTTATTTTGAAGAGAAATTATACCTTTAGAGATTTTGATTTAACATTTGTCTTTAATGTGCCGTTCATATGTGTTACCTAAACTCATTTAAGGGGGAAATAGTGTTTAAGTTATAACTAGAAGCCAGTGCAGCGCCACTAATTGGGGACAAATAAGTTGAAAGATGATAGTGTATTTTTAGTATCTGTCTAATAAGTGTGTTTAAGAAGTAACAGGTAAACACTTGTTTTGGAATCTGTAAAACGATCATGTTGAGCAGTTATTGTGTTTCTTTTTTTTTATTCGTAGAATGGCCACAGGTGGCAAATATTTCAAGATTTGTTGGGAACTGACCAAGATAATCTTGATTTGGCCAATGTCAACCTAATGTTGGAGTTACTAGTGCAGAAGAAAAAACAACTGGAAGCAGTAAGTGGTAGCTGAACTTAAAAACAAATTGTTTTAAATGATAATTTTTATTTCAGTGAAAAAGATATAGGAATGTTGAAAAACCATAGGGTAGTATTAATAATTCATCCTTTTTTATTTGGTTAAAAACATCTGAAAAGTCACCCTTTACAGATTCCTCATTTTCAAGTTAAAAGAGCAAATTCCTAAACCAAGCCTTATGCCATTTCTCTAATCCTAGCACCCAGAAGGCAGAGGCAGGAGGATCACAAGTTGGATGCCAACCTGTACTACATAGGGATAACTCTGTTTTTACAACAAAAAGAAAAGAGCAAATTCCTTACAGTATAACTTTTTTGCAGTGGCTAGTTTGTGTTAACGAAAGGTATTAAAGATCATGAGGAAGTAGAGTTGCATTTTAATAGGAAGCAATTATATTGGTTGTTTTCTTCTAGTGACTGTTTTCCTTGCTGTATTTATCCCCTCTACATTTGACATTTGGAAGTGAAACAGATTATTTTTATCTACGTCAAATAAAAATCCTTTCAACAGGTATCTATGTATAGCAGCAGTGATGTGGCTTAAATAAGAGCATTTAAAGAGATGTGATTAAATGAAAATAAATATAAAATTGCACTTAATTCATGTAAATAAATGTGAAATTGTACATGTTAGTCGAATTGGATATATTACAACCAACACAAACCTTAATTTTAGCAAATACACACCTTGACCTAGTTTGTAGATATTTATTGATATAGTAAGGAAGTGTGATGTGAGTAGCTCACATACACAGAAAGGATGAGCTGAATAAATGTTGCAAAGATTAGAATTGTGACTTCTCTTGAATACTGCAAGCAGATGAGAATAGAGATTTGAATGTTATCCGAATCTTTTTTTATGTCTGTTGCTTATCTTGCTAGGACAGCTCTGATTTTCCTTTTTGATATTTATTCACTTACTTATAATACTGGGGTTTGAATTCAGGGCCTTGAGCTGGCTAGGCAGGTGCTCTACCACTTGAACCACACTTCTCTCCCTTTTACTGATAGATTTTTACCATGCAGTGAATAATGTGGTCATATGCATTTTCTTTATGTCGTTGTGATAAAAGAAGAAAATGGGGTTTCCTTTCTAGCTTTAGTTTTTAAAAATTCTGCGGATAGATTCTGATTAGCTTCATCCTGGTCTGGATCCCACTGAACAGTATGGAATCTATTAATCAGACAAAGGAGTTTGTGAGGAGACTGAGCTAATTAGAATGGCTGTCTGCTACAGGCTGTGTTTTTGTAGAGTGGATTTGGGGGAAATTTCTCTTACGCTGTTATCATAGTTTTCTTTTATCATCTACTATGTGTCAAATGTAGTGTTATGGGCTATAAAGAAGAGTGGTCTCTTCTATAAAGAAGTGTGTGTGTCAACATAGTGATAAATTATTTTAAAAGATTTCTTTTTTGAGAAATTGAACATACATAGTTACCTTGCTTCCTTTTGAACTATGAAAATAATAATACAGTTTTGTGGAGGCAAAGAAAATGTGAGATGAGTCAATAGCAGGAATGTTTTGTAAGCCGTAAACCAGATGGACAGAAAGTAGTAGATATTTAGAAATACATTTTTTAGATCTGAAAAAAAACTGTACACTAAGCCAGCAGTGGGAGTAAAGCTAAGAACTATATTGTTGAACAGAGGTTTTGGGATTGGGAGTATCAGGTATGTCATATAATAAAGGCTGCAAACAGGATCAGTTGAAAGACTGTTCAATAAGCAGATGAAATTCATGATCCCTTCTTATTTGACTCACACAATAAGAGTCTGTGACATACTAATCAGTTTTAATGAATGCTAACACTTTGTCTTAGATGTGAGTTTTGAGAGTTAGGTGTCTTTTGTACTTAGAGCCGTTTCATTTCATTACTTTCTCCCAGAGTAACCATTTCTCAAGCATATATATGCTTTCCATATATATGTAAATATATAAATACATCTATATAAATTATTGTTTGTATACATACTATAATTTTCCTTTTGACATATACCTTTGTTTACTTCTTGAGGTTCATACTGATATATGTCTAGTTTAGCTTCTCTATGGTAATCATTTCTCTTGCTATTGATTTGGCACTTACTTTTAGTTGAGAGACTCAGTACTGCATTTAGTGTGGTTATACATGTCTTGTTCTCGTGTGTGTGTGTGTGTGTGTGTGTGTGTGTGTGTGTATACATATATATATACAATTAAGTTTGTTTTTAGAAGTGGAATGGCTAGTAACAGGTAATGAGAGTGCACATTTTAATCTTATTAGATATTGACAGATTGCTTTTCTTGTTAGAGATTGCCTAATGACTCTGTGGTTTCTTAGACACACTTAGTACTTTCTCTTTTTTAGTTCTGCCAATTTGATAGCAAATGCTATTTTGTGTCTTTTTACATTTCTGTGATTACTAGTGAAGTTGAAAGTTTTTTCATTTGCTTGATCATTTTGGTTTCATGTTTGGTGAACTACATATTCACACTCAGGGTCTATGTTCGTAATGGGTTTTTTCTTAATGATTTGAAAAAGATTGACAGAATGAGAATTTATTTTGGGTAATGCTACTTTGCCAAATATTTTGGTAATTGGATTCTAGTTGAAGTGCACTGTGGCTCAAAGGTAATGTATATGATTTTAGATGATTTAATTTTGCCTACTTTTTGGCTTATCAGCTATAACTTCTGGTTATGTTTTATAGTGTTTACTTTTGGTTTCTTAATGTAATTATTACACATTCTATCTTCAAGTAATATGCTTCGTCTATATTATAAAATCCTTTTAATAGTATACTTCCATTTCTTTTGTCCTAATCATTGTACTATTTTTGTCATTTGTACTATTTATTGCTACTATTTATTTTGCTTCTACTTATGTTACAAACCCCACAATACAGTAAGCTCTACCTTATTCATGCATTTATTTCATGTGGCTTCGACCACATGTACCCATGGATGCCAAGCTGTACATAGTTAACTAATTGTACTTTAATAAGTAGGTTATATCTTACTATCTTACAGAAATTATTTTCACATCTTATATTAGCCCATTTCTTTATCATTTTGGGCACTCTCATTTCTTTTTGTAGATCAGGTTTCTGTCTGTTACCATTTTTTTTTCTTTCTAAAAGGCATCCTTTATCATTTCTTTTCTTTCTTTCCTTTTTTTTAATCTACCACTTGGGCCATGCTTGCCCCCTACCCCAGCCCCTTTATCATTTCCTTGGTGCAGGGCTGCTTTTGAGAAATTAGTTTTTATATTTTATTAAAAAAATTCTTTTTTGGCATTACTGTGATTTGAACTCAGGGCCTTGCACTTGGTAGGAAAGTGCTCTACTACTTGAGCCTCTTCTATAGTTTATAATTCTTCTATATTATTGACAAAGTTGTTTTTTCACCTTTGTGTTTGAAAGGTGCTTTCACATGACTACAGAATTGTAGGTAGGATTTTAAAAGAATTTTGTTGCACTAGTGAGTGCAGAGTCCTGAGTTCAAACCCCAATACTGCCAATAAAAAAAAAAATTGTCCCAGGATTTTGTTTCACTGCCTTTTGGCTAGCATTGTTTTCTGATAAGAGGTTTACTATCATTTCTTGTCTCTCATCCTCTGAATGAAATATGTCTCTCCCAGTTTAAATACTCTTCATGGTTTTAAGCATTTTGATTATTAAGTGTCTTGTTACAGGATTCCCCTCTTTCTTGTTTTTTGTCTGTGGGGTTCTATGAACTTGTTGGATCTGGGCTTATAGTTTCCATAAGATTTAGAGATTTTTCAGCCATTATTTCTTCAAATTTGTTTTGTTTCCTTGTTGACCCTTTGGAAACTGGAGCTGCATATTTCTTAGGCTGGTTGAAGTTGTTCCATGGGTCACTGATGTGAACTGTTAAGTTTTGTTTGGTAGTTGTGTTTATGGTGTTCCATTTTGGATAGTTTCTATGGATGTTTTCAAGTTGACCAGTCTTTTTTATCTTCCATGTCTCTTTAGCATGCTTACACTAATTTTTAATATGCGTCTACTATTTCTGTTATCCACGTCATTTCTACAAGATTTTGATTTTTGTTTTTTTGAGACAGGGTCTTGCTCCGTAGCCCAGACTGGCCTTTCACGTGCTATGTAGCTCAGGCTGGCCTCAAGCATGGTCTTTTTGCCTCAGCCTCTTGAATGCCAGAAGTGAGTGCACTCATGCTCCACCATGCCCGGCTTGAGTCATTTCTGTATCTGTTCATATAGATTGACTTTTCCTCATGAGATGTATTTTCCTACCTCTTTACCTGTATGTTAATTTCTATTAACATACATTACTGAATAGTGTTGTTCATTTTTATATTTTGTTACACATTTCTGAACTGTGCTCTGATACACATTACCTGGAAGTAGTTTGATTGTCTTGAAGCTTGTTTTTAAGGGAGACAATACCAATTTTGCCTCAGTTTTTTTTTAAACTGCAATTGTTAGGAATGTGATATTTTTGATTCTTTCTTTGACAGCCATTGTTTCATACAGTTGATTTGATATTTTGTTGCTTAAAGTAATAATGTAAATCTAGTCCCTCTTAGCCAAGAGTGGATGCTCAATTTGTGTGTCTTTTTTTTTTTTTAAATTGATAGTGATTTTCATTTAAATTTAATAAACATATTTGTGGTACTGTGGGTGAACCCGGGGCTCACTCGCAAGTAGTCTTACCACTGAGCTACACTCGTAACTCCTAATATAATTATTGATATGGCTAGGTTTTAGTCTAGACCACTGTACTTATTTTTCATTTTTACCATCTGGTTACTATTCCATTTATCTCTCTTTTGCCTTTATAGGAATCATTGACATTTTGTATGCCACTTTATCTTACTTATTTTTTACGTACTTTACATTGTACTTTTAGAGTTCTTGTGCAGATTACAAAACCTTTTTATTTTTATAGTCAGCCTTAAATTTACAGCACTACTTCAAAAACTGTGTTTACAGTTAACTTGAATATAAGTATGACACTT